TCCATTTTATTTCTTTTTTTCTTTTTTTCTTCTTGTTTGGTTTTATTTGAAGACTCTTGAATTTTGATACTATCAAATACCAAAAGTTGCAACCCTCCAAAAAAAAAAAAAAAAAATCTAAAGTTGAAATCTTAATGCTATGTTTGGCAGTAGGAAGGGAATTGCATGAAAGAAAATATGCAAAAGAAATTGTTCTACTTTTTTTTTTTTTGTTGATAATGTTCTTACGACTAAAGGTAAATTTGTAAAGAATAGTCCTAATAATTAATTTGAACTGAAAGTTGAGGAAATGCACGTTCCTTTCAATTTAAGAGTGAAATATTTCAATGAGATTTATGAATATAGCCATTTCTAATTTTCTATTCTATATATTTCTATCAGACAAATATTTCCCTCACTGTCTCTCCAATTTCCACACAATTTCTTACCTTACAAGTTACAAGTTTTTTCTTGACAAACAAAGTGTAAATTAATAAACGGAAAGTGAAAGGACAGCAGCACAAGAAAATGTTATAAATCCGACCTGTATTTAGACATTAGCTTCACTCAACAGGAACCAGAAAGTGGAGCAAAACTCTCCAGCAGCCATAACCAATTTCCCAAAATTAATGTGTATAAGTTACTATAAGCAACTTTCTCATTCTTCTGTGTGTACACTATCATAGGGAAATCCTTACTTTCGGTCATAACACAACATGCCAAACTACAACTCCACATGTCCAAGATGGAGATAAAGAAAAATCTAAATCATGTAGAATCACTATTATCTCTAACCTCAAAAACCTTGCTTCAACACTCAGCCTGGGAAATTATTAGCCGTCACTTGTATGCGTGAAGGCTAAAATAACAATGGTCAGTGAGAAGAAAACAGTCCCGCAAGCAAACAACCACATGATCCGGCTTGGTCCTTTGTTCTGGCTCTCTTGACTCCCCAACTCAACATCTTTGAGAAGCTCCCTTACTTCATCCATGTCAGAATCCTTGGCAGCTTGGAGTAGTCTACCTTGAATTTTATCAAGCTTAGTGAGTCTGCTATTTCTAGTTCCATCCTTGGCTGACCAGAGAAAACCTGTCATCTTCCACAAGAGAATGCCTACATAGATGGCAACAACACAATCTACAGTATAATGGTGGCGCTCTCGTATTTCACGCTGAGCACTGTGCATAACAAGCACCCATATCAGAGCTGAGCTAAAACCCCCATAAGCCTCCTGCAGTTTAAGAAGGGGAAAGGCCAACATAAGTTAGTTTGTGATTTGGCAACAGCCACTAGAAAGAGAGACAGGACAATTTCTGAATGCGTAAAAACACAATACCGTCCATGCCATAGCGGTCAGTACAGCAACTAGCATGTGGCCACTATACAGAAGGTCATTGCATCCACCCCCTGCCTTTTTAAGCAGACTGTACCAGGACGCTCCTTCTGATGAGGTGGGTCGCAGAAAATCAATTAGGAAGCTCATTGAACCCCAATCAGGACGGTAGTCACCAGGGTATTTGCCAATCTCAGCTGGAAAAGATGAGGAGAATTATAAGACTAACTTCAAGAGACAGGGAAATAACAAATAGACAAATCAATAACAATAAAGGACTTGCAATTATTTAGAAATAAATATTTACCATATGCTATATCCTTCCTTATTACTTGACGAATGGCATTTGCATCTGAAGCATAAGGAACATAATATTTCTGAGCCCAAGGATGAGGATGTCCAGGGACCATAAACCGTGCTGAAGCACACCATGGCCGGGCTGATGGCAGAATTGTAGAGACAAAAGTTATAGCACGAAGAAGACGGCCAATTCCCATGGTAAAAATATATCGTGCACCTAACCCAAGGCCAGGAGCTTTTACAGAGTCAAACAGTACAGAGAAGCCCAACATTATAAATAACATCAAATAATGGTGCAAGCCAATAATGTGAGCTCTCAGTATCTCCACAACCACTTCAGGAAGTTTCTCATTTAGTGCCAGTAGCAACCATTGACCAGTATCAGGAAGAGGAGGCGTATCACTGTTAAATATTACTATCATCAACGGTTCCAGTAAAAGCTAAATATAATTACAGACGAATTATTGTAAAAATTAAACAGTTTTTTTTTTTGTCAGACTTCCCAATAGAGAATGCAATAATATGGATAAAAAACATTATAAGCCATATGGAGAGACTGTCAAATCTATTTATATGCCCTTGACATATATGAGATTTTTAGCAGATGTTCCTCTTTCGAGAAACGTTAATGAATTAACTTCATCTGAATGAACAGACCATGTAACTACAACATGATTTGTTCACATGTTTTCCAAAAATTCTTAAGAGCCTATCCTTGTAACATTGCCTACTTTCAAGTACATTGTAAATAAGCTGCATAACTTGCCATGTGCTTCCACAGATGTAAGTGAAATAGCTTCGGCCAATATTGTTCTATCAATTCAAATAACTCATATACCAGAGCTCCGGTTTTAAACCAGAGCATGTTACAGTTAACCACATACAAATAAGATAATTTTCCAGTGAATAGTCTCATTTTATGATATATGACAAAATAGAATACTGGAGGCACGTGTAAGAAATTACAACAACATCTATATCTTATGCAATTGTGATGTCTTCATTTGAATAAGTACACATACAAGTGAAACATCACTTGAGAAAGCTCAGTCATAAATTCCCTACTTCTCTTTGGATCAGCTAGTTGTCCTAGATCAGAGACTGTCTTAATTCTCAAATTACAATCTAACATTATGTCTGTCACATCAGTAACCCAAAGAAGAGATTCATTCAGCAACCCAAAGTGACTCAGAATACTACCTATAACAGAGACAGAGACAGAGACAGCAACGATTTTTTTCCTCTTTTCCATTTTAAGTTCTCCGAAGTGGGAGACGTTGGGCAGTGAAAAAAGGGTTACAAAGAGAGTTTTAGGAATAAAAATGGAATTAGACACAAGTTTCCAATTCCTAAGTCCATATTTCATACCTTGCTGCAGAATTCACGCATGAAACCTAGTCAAAAAATAATCATAAATGTCATGCAACTAAATCCCTTCTTCAATTGGAAGTTGCCAATGCCTTGCAAACCACAGATTATCAGGATACTACAAACAAGTCAAATTAACAAGCTAAAAGAGGCAAGAACCATAGTTTACAAGAACTGAAAGACCTAGAGCAAAGGATATCCCTTTGACCACGCAACATTTATGATTAGTAATGCCAATCATATTCCTTTCCATAATTAAACACTTTAAACTCTTATCAGAAGTAGCAAATCTGGCAATTTTTTTTATTCAAACGACTTTCCTAATGTGCATCAAAACTATCCCAAATCAATGAATCATAAGCATAATGCATACAACTAACAATGAGGCCAAAAAGGCAACAAAAAATAAACTTGACCCACAAAATAGAAAGGGGAAATCACATCGAAGTTAAGCTAATTCAAAATCTAAGGTCAGTGAAGTACCTATGCCAATCGAGGCCAAGAACAGCGGTGACGAAACGAACAGAGAGAGCTTCAAAGAGAAGAGCAGAGAGCAAGAATACGATTGATGCAAGGAAAGGAAGAGCAGCTCGAAATTCGGCGTTCCAATGACGGTAAAATGGGACGCGAGAGATGGCGATGAGGGCGAGTAAAGACCAGAGAAAGGGTTGAAGACGCTCATGCCACGTTGGGGAGACGTTGCGCAGGTAGTCTACGGCCACGTAGGTCAGCGCCGCCACCCCAAGTCCTCCGCCCCTCGCCGACGGCCACCGCATGGTGGTGGCGGTGGTTTAGAAAGAAGACAGAGTTTTGTGTTTCGGACAGGGCTTCAGTTTTGATTTGGTTTGATTCGTTGCAAGGAGTCTAAAAGAATGTTGGATCGGATTCAAGTCTTATGTAGTCGTCAAACTCATACACTAAAGCTAAGTTAATCTTTTGACGTGAATGCGGATTTTCTTAATAAATGTTCGCTTTTTTTTTTTCTTTCCAAGGCAATATTTTTTTGAAAGGAAATTTATTGTGTGGGTATTAATTTCTTTTTTTGCATGATAGTTTAGGTTTTTTTATTATTATTATTATATTATTTAGAAAAAAATGACATAAACTAGAACGGTCCAAGGTATACAAATCAACAAATTTAATTCCAAAACCCCTTACTTGTTGAGACAATTAATTTTAACGAGAGGGGTAGCTCGCGTTGGCGCGTCGAGCGTTTTGAAATTTGAATTGTTAAAAAGTTGCTTAAAAATTATAAGACGTCCTTCATGGATTTTCTCTCTGAGTTCCATCCTTCCCAAAATCTGTTGGTGAAGGTCATTTCCGGATTTAGTTCGGTTTTTAATTTTCGAATTGTTCACCAGAATCGAAAGACTTTGGTACTCCAACCCTTCCAGAATTCCTATCGGGATCAAACTCTTCGAGATCGTTGGGATAATAGGATGTTATCTCTTCTAAATCTCACATACTCAACAACTTTTTTGAAATTCCGATGCGATATTGTTTTTTCAAACGTTGAAGTCTTGAGGATTTTGCGCTGCTATTTTTTATATTGGCTCTAGTCCCTTTGGTTTATGATACACTCCTGTTTTTTCCGGCTATTTTTTTATCAACATCTCTGCTTCTCCTTACCTATCCTATCTTCTTTCTTCTTGTTTCCATATTGTCCAATGGCGGCTGCTGATTTGTCAAATCTGTGTTCTAACTTGTCTCTCCAAGAGGACGGGCAGGTGAAGGAAGGACAAGCGAGGGTGGTGATGATTGATAGGGATTTGATTGAAGAGGGGGACAACGGTGCAGCTGCTTATTATCTCATTGGGAAATATTACTCAAAGAGGTGAGCTAACTTGGAGGGGATGAGGACTACTCTGTTTAACGCCTGGAAGTTAGAGATGGGATTGGTGGTGAAGGAAGTAGGGGAAAGGCTTTACATGTTCTAGTTTGAAGATGAGGCGGAGCGAGATCGAGTGTTGGTAACGCAACCATGGCACTTCAATAGGTCCTTGATTGTACTGAGGGAATATGATGGAGTGGAAAAACCAGAAGCTCTGTCGTTCCAATTCTGTCCTGTTTGGGTCAGGATCTTTGAACTACCCGCCAATTATGATGACAAGTAAGATTGGGGCAGTGGTAGCGGGGGTTATTGGTCAGGTCTTGGAAGTGGACGAACAGCTAGGGAACTTTATCAGGGTTCGCGTGAAGATGGATGTTACCAGGCCTATCCTAGATGAAACTACAGTCACCTCTCCTTTTGGTGACTATGAGGTGGAATTTAGGTATGAGGATTTGCCTGACATCTGTCGAGTATGTGGTTTATTTGACCATACCAGCGAGAATGATTGTCTGCTGGCAACTGAGATGAGGAAGACGCAAGGGTCTGTTACCAAGAAGTACACAGCCCGAATCAAGCCAGAGTCTCCTTGGTTTAAATCGGCTAGATTTGGTGATGGCGATGGTAGCTTTCGGTTGGGTTGCATGGGGTCTCGACAATCCAGTCCTTTATCGATTTCTTCTGGGGTTCCAATGCCTCCAGGCAGGGAAGGGCGATCTACTCAGCAATCGCCGTCGGTAGGAAGTCAGGGTCGACGTTTCAGGAACCACGTGGATAGTATGTTACTTCGAGGAAGGTCGGTGGCGCGTCCTTTGTTCCCAGGTGAAGTTTCTTGTGAAGTAATATCTCGGTTACCGGAAAATAATGGTGGTCCGGTGGCTGGTGAGGTGGAAAGATCAGTTGAGAGGATGGTGGAGTCAGTTACGCAAAGAGGGGGGTTAGTTGAAAGTTCGGCGGATGAGTTGTATGGGGATTTGAATCTATCCGCAAGAATCGGGGAAGCTACAAAGGTGGTGCAACAGCCACAGCCGAAATTTGGGGGTGATTTTTTTATAACAGAAAGCTCCTCAAATTCAGCAGCAAGGAGCGTCCAACAGCGACGTAAAGGAAAGGGAAAACAGAGGATTTCTTGGGCTTCTTCAACAGATTCAATAGGCAGTTCGTTTGGTTCAATTCCTGGGATTGGGCGGATGAGAAGAGGTCAAGGGAGGTTAGGGCCTGATTTGATGCACTTGGTTAGTGGGCTTGCTGCAGGCCCAAGTGCAGGTCCAAATCTAATTAATCAAGTGAATGCAGCAGGTCTTGGCGAGAATTCAAATGCTTATGATCCTAATTCACCCTTTGTTTTTAGTGCTGGAGTTTCTATAGGGGCGAGGAAAATAAGAACTTGGAAAAAGCATGCCAGGGCCTCAGACAAGTATACTTTTGAAGCATTGAGCAAGAGTACTGCTGTCAAGGTGGGGGATAAGAGAAATTCAGTGCAACCTGTGTTTGAAGTTTGTTAGGGGAATATTGCGAAAAGATCAAGGGAGGGTGATTTGGCTCTTTCTGATTTGGATGCTGGTAGGCGTACTCGAGGGGTCTATATCGCTGATACGGATGCTGCTGCAGGAGGAGGAGGAGTCACTGGTGTAAGAGGAGGTGGTGTCTCTTCTTCTAATGCTGATGGTAACAATGGTGCAAAGGCTGGGGCAGGTGAAGTCTGCCCTAGCCGAGATCCATGAGTATTTTAGTTTGGAACTGCCGAGGCCTTGGGGCACCTCGGTCAGTAAATGTTCTTAGAAATTTAATAAATTGTAATAAGCCTCATGTTTTATTTTTATCAGAAACTAAAAGATGTAGTAATGAGATGGAATGGATTCGTTGTTCTTTGGGTTATGATTCTTGTTTTGTTGTTAATAGTGTAGGACGAGCTTGCGGTCTAGCTTTGCTCTAGTTGAATTCTATTACTGTTAATGTTGTGTCTTTTTCTAATTCCCATATTGATGCTCATGTTGGAGCACATATTTCTGATATGTGGCGTTTTACTGGATTTTATGGTCGGCCAGAGACAAGTCGGCGTTATGAGTCATGGGCCTTGTTGAAATTGCTAGCTTCCCAGTCTCCATTGCCCTGGCTTTGTTCAGGAGACTTTAATGAAATCTTATCTAATGATGAAAAAATTGGAGGCGCTATGCGACCTCAACGTCAAATGAATTTGTTTCGAGAGGTGGTAGATGCTTGTGGTTTTCATGATATTCCTGTTAAAGGGTCATTAATGACTTGGTCTAGGCGTATGGGTGATGAGATTGTTTTTGAGCGGTTAGATAGATATTTTGCTACGGAGAGTTGGTTGGAGAAGTTTCAATTTTCTTTTGTACAGAGTTTACTGACTTCGGTCTCTGATCACTTACCATTATTGGTCCATGTCTTGGAAAGGCCGGAGTTGGAGTGTCGAAGTAGAGGTCAATTTCGTTTTGAAGCAATGTGGCTGTTACATAAGGATATTGATAAGGTTGTCGAAGAGGGATGGAATGGAGTAGTGAGTAGTGATGTTCAACAGCGAATTAGAAATTGTGGGAAGATGTTGGAGGACTGGAATAGACGTGTATTTGGGAATGTCAAGTTTGCTATTCGAGACAAGAAGAAGGAACTTGATGAACTATATATGGAAGCTCAACGACATGGGGAATCGTGAATGCTGCACAATTGTCTAGACGATTTAAATGAACTCTATGATAGGGAAGAAGTTATGTGGAGACAACGAGCGAAGATGTCGTGGTTGAAGGAAGGAGACCGAAACTCCAGGTTTTTCCATTCCGTAGCTACACATCGGAAGCGCCGAAATACTATTGTTTCGATACAAGATGAGATGGGGCATTGGCAGACTGATTGTGTATCGGTGGAAAATGTTATTGTGAAGTACTATAAGGATATTTTTTCGTCGTTACATCCAACTATTCATCAGATACATCAAGTAACAGGGCTGGTGGATAGGCGTGTTTCTACTTCTATGAGTGCCATGTTAGATAGAGAATTTACGAGAGAAGAGGTACGCGTGGCGGTGTTTGATATGGAACCCAATAAGTCTGCAGGACCAGATGGAATGTCTCCGTTATTCTATCAATGGTTTTGGAACATTGTCGGGGAGGAGGTAAGTATGTTGGTTTTGTCTTTTCTAAATTTAGGGACGCCCTTGATAGATATTAACCACACTAATGTGGTACTTGTACCGAAAGTTGAAAACCCTTGTAGTGTTAAGGATTTCAGGCCGAATAGTTTATGTAATGTAATTTTTAAAATCATATCTAAGGTGCTTGCGAATCGGTTAAAAGAAGTGTTGCCTCATATTATTGGGCCGACGCAAAGCGCTTTTATTCCAGGACGGATGATTTTTGATAGTGCTTTAATTGCTTTTGAAAATGTACATTACATGAACAACAAGAGGTCGGGTAGTGATTATCATATGGCATTGAAGCTAGACCTTAGTAAAGCATATGATCGTGCTGAGTGGGATTTTCTTGAAGGAATCATGAGGCAAATGGGTTTTTCTGATCGTTGGATAGGTTTGGTTATGGTTAGTGTTAGAACTGTGACGTATTCAATTTTGATAAATGGGATACAATCGGAGAAGGTTGTGCCAACAAGAAGAGTTCGACAAGGGGATTCTTTGTCGCCCTATTTATTTCTGCTTTGCATGGAGGGTTTGTCCAGTATGTTGCAGCATGCTGAGCGCGTTGGGGATATAAGGGGAATTTCCATTGCTCGAAATGCTCTAAGGGTCTCGCATTTATTCTTTGCGGATGACAGTCTTTTGTTTGTCAGAACATCATTGGCTGAATGTGACGCGATTATGCGGATATTGAAAGTTTATGAATTAGCGTCTGGGAAATTTATAAACATTGATAAGTCAGCGGTGTTGTTCAGTAAGAACACTCCTGAAGATTTACGGAAGGCAATTCAGCATCATTTGGGAGTACAAAAGATTTTGTCCCGGGACAAGTATCTGGGGATGCCGATAATGATAGGTAAGTCAAAAAGGGCGGAACTGGAAGTTATTAAGGATAGATTGTGGAAACGGATACAGAGCTGGAGTGGTCGATTATTATCTATTGCAAGTAAGGCAGTCATGATTCAAGCGGTAGCCCAGGTAATTCCAACGTATCTGATGAGCTGTTTTAAGTTCCCAAAGTCATTTCTTCATGAATTGAATATGTTAATTGCGAGGTTTTGGTGGGGTAGTACTGATACAAAGCGGAAGATCCATTGGAAGGCATGGGATGATCTTTGTGTTTCAAAGTTGGATGGGGGTTTGGGATTTCGGGATTTCGAAGCTTTTAATTTGGCTTTGTTAGCAAAACAATGTTGGCGGCTGATTCGAAATGAAAATTCCCTGTGTTATCGGATTCTCTGGGCTAAGTACTTTCGCAATAATACTTTTATGAAGGCGAAGTTAGGACATAATCCTTCCTTTGTATGGCGTAGTCTCCTAGCTGGCCGTGAGGTGCTACGGGGTGGAAGCCGATGGCGAGTAGGAAATGGTTATGAGATAGATGTTTGGAGTGATAATTGGTTGAATAAGCCTCCAACGTTTAAACCACAAGCCCAAATAGGAACTATATGTCATGCCACCACAATAAGCTCTTTAATGGACTATCCTGGTCATTGGGATTTGGATCTTTTACAAGAGTTGGTTGTTCCTGAGGATGTCACACGTATACTTTGTATTCCATTGTCTATTTTACCTTATAGAGATACATTGATTTGGAATGATACGGCTAATGGAATCTATACAATTAAGAGTGGCTACCACGTTGCTAGGAGAATGCTTGGGAAAGAGGTGAGTTCGGTAGATGGTAGACTTTCTCGGTGGCCAATTGTGTGGGGGGCATCAGTATTGCCAAAGATTAAGTTTTTCATGTGGAGATTATTGCATAATATTTTGCCAAGGAAAGACCAATTGATGTATAAAGGGGTGCCGATAGATAATAGTTGTCCAGTGTGTTGTAATGAAGAGTCTTCTGCTTTCCATGCTATGTTTGAATGCTAATTTAGTCGATCGGTTTGGGAGCTCTCTTGTCCGTGGCTTATGGGGTATTTGTATAGATGGTATGGAAGGGAAGATTTTTGGGACTGTTTGTTGGAGAAAGCCGCCCAGCTAGGATCGATGGAGATAGTTTTAACGACCATGTGGAGATTATGGTCCAATCGCAACAAGTCCTTACATGAAAACGTTTGCTCTCTTCCTTCCACGTTATGTACTTCGGTTGCTAGGCTTTTGAGTGAAGTTGGGACAGCTCAACGGAGGTTTGTGGAGCCTAGGCAACAAGAGGGTCCTTCGACGTGGGTTCCTCCATGTCTAGCGAATTTCAAGATTAATACGGATGCGGCTTACTATTTTATTAGCCAAGAAGCTGGTCTAGGAGTAGTTATACGGGATGTCGATGGTATTGTTCTGTTTACTGCCACTGCCAGGATAAATAGTGTGCCTAATGCTCTTTTTGCAGAGGTTTATGCCATAAGGTTTGGATTGATTTTGGCATATTCGTATGGGCTTTTATCAGCTGAGGTAGAAAGTGATTCTTTGCAAGCTGTGGTGGAGTTAAATAGAACAGACTCTTCCTTGTGGGAATGAGGTGTTTTAATACACCAAATACGGAATTTAGCTTCTTTGTTTCATTTTTATTCTTTTAGTCATGTTTCTAAGGTAGCTAATGTTTTTGCTCATAGGTTAGCACATTTGGAGAGTGATGTAAATACTAATTTCATCTGGTGTGGAATGCCTCTACACGTATGTAATCAAGAGATTTAATGAAATGCAATTCAAAGGTTATTTCTAAAAAAAAAAGTTGCTTTATATGAATTACCTTAATTTTGGTGTAATTTAGTGTTGTTAAGGAATAGGAATCGTTTGGTATTGTAAAGGAGTAGGAAAAGTTGAGTAGGAATCGTTTGGTATTGTAAAGGAGTTGTAGACACCCATTTTTAGCGCATATCCTTTTATTTGGCTTAAAATATTTCTTGATTCGCATTTTGGGGTATTTAAGTCATTTCAATTTATTTTGACATTTTGGGCAATTAAGTAGAATATAACGAGTGATTCTATCTCGCATTCAGAAAGTTATCAAAAAAAAAAGAAAAAAGAAAAGAGAGAAAATAAAAAATGGGAAAATCACAAAAAGAAATTTCATAATACTAGTAAAGTTATCAGTTTAATTTTTGATAGACTTTTTCCATTTGGTTTATAGTTAATCACTTTGCCAAGTTGAATCTTGCTTTATTAACTTAGTCCATCAATTATCAATTTGAGTCTTTGTTGCTTTGGACAACCTTTGTCCTTTCCTTAGTTGTGCCTTACCCTTTTCCTTAATTTGGTTGGGCCAATTTGTTTTGGGCCTCATAGTCACCCTTTGATCCAAGTGCATTTGATAGCTAATTTTGATTCCATTTTCCATTAAAGAGAATGGGCATTTTGCAATGAGCAATAATTTTCATCAAGTGTTTACATTTTACAAGCATGAAACATATATTAAAAAAAAAGAAAGAAAAAGAAAAAAAAGAGTGCAAATGGCTTCAAACTTGACACCTTCCCCTTGGGCACATATGTTACTTAATGCTAAGCAAGTCTTGTCTCCAGCTGCCACATGCTCACATTCACCATGCATAGGTGTCAAACACTGCTATGTATTCGGTAGATCCATAAGCAAGACAGCACAAACAAAAGAATTAGCCGGGCAATTTCAGAGCAAATACAAGTGAATCCCAAATGGAAAGAAAGCAATGAAGGTGTACTTCAATCTTATTGGCAGCAAAAGAAAAGAGTAAAACATCAAGACAAAATCATTGTCAAGACACCAATACAGAGCAATCGATGGCAATAGGGTCAGAGACATGCAGCAGGGGGCAAGAACAAAACATAATTCAGGGCAGTGAGCAAAGATAGTTCAACTTCAGTGCAAGTTCAAGACTTAAGCAGAAAGATAAGCACTCAGGCAATGCTAATAGAAAGAGACAAATACAGAGTATGCTCATATCATGCACACACTCACATGCCATCAAATACCTCCTGAGAAACAGACAAGAAAGGAAGGCGATAGGAAAGCCTCACCTTGCCACCTCATTTACCACAACAACAAGTTTCTACCTACACAAACTGACAAAACAAAATTAGCACAAATAAAAGAAAATGGAGTAGAAATTAAAAGGCCATTGGATTAGGTAAAACAGAGACTGATCGTGGGATTGTTTGGTTTTCATTTTTAGGACTATATATACCACAATTTCATCAAAAAAGGGAGGACAGTTTTCGGAAAAAAACCCTAGTTCTTAGTTTTCCTTTCTAGTTTCCCATAGATTTCGAGCAAAAAAAAAAAAGAGAGAAAAAAAGCTTCATTTTTTCTATTTCATAGTTTTCCAGTAATCAAAAAGAAAAAAATTTCCTCGTTCCTTTTTTTTCTAGTGAGTACTAACAGAAAAATCCAAAAAAAAAGGGTAGAGTTCATTAAAACACAAAAAACCGAAAACCCAAAGTCTATTCTTTTTTCATAGTTCATCAAAAACACAAAAAAAAAGTGTCCTTTTAAAAAAAAAAAAAACATGCCACTAATCACTGATTCATAAAACCAAAAGTCAAAAAAAGAACTTTTTACCTTTGTGTGAGCATAGTTTTCCTTCGGTTTTCCTTTCACCACGTTCTTCGGACCCCCATTTCGATCCTTTCTTCAAAGAAAACAACAACACAGAGGGTTAGGGTTTCCTTAGACTAAGATTTGGGGCATTTCGGTTTGAGGTCTTGGTTTTAAAAAATTGATTCGGTGGAAGTACAAAGGAAAGGGAGGAGAGGAATATACCTAGTGCCGGGAGTGATTCGACGGTTGAGCAGAGAGATCGAGAAGGGCGGAGGAAGTTACGGTTAGTGCAATTTGAGGCATTTCAGGTTCTTTTTTTGAGAAAACTAACCTCAGATCTGGAAAGAGGAAGGTCAGGCGACGCTTACTGGGGATTTCGGTGTTCAGCGGCTGCGATTGAAGCTCCGGCGACGGTGGAGCAGCCGCGAGGGCGATTCCTGGTGAGCTAGGCGGCGACGGTGCAAAGTCTAGGGTTTGAGGTAAGTTATATTTTTCAGAATTAAGTTAGTATATATAGTCATGCTTAGTTTTGTGTCATATTCTAATTGCAAGTGTTCTGTTTGGTGTTCCATTTAATTTAGTCTCCGATTGATTTCAATTTAGTCCATTAAGCGGTCAATTAGCTCATATAAGTAATCGACACTTGTTTCCGTTTGCAATATGGTCCCTGTGATAGCTTAATTTGGTCCCTTTATGTTTGGTTTCGTTCGATTAGGTGTCTTTCGGTTTAATTTTAAGTTAAATCTATATTGTTTAGTCATAGGTAATTCAAAAGAAGTAACCTATGTTAAATAGTTTATATGTTAAATAAATTGATTTGGAGCTGGGAATAAACATGTCTAGGAATTATTATTTTAAGCATTTTCGGAATTAAGATTGCTTCATGGCAGTTTAGATTAGATTTTCTTAGAATTGAGACTATTAATTATATTTGGGCTCTAAAGTCCTCTGTTGGGCCTTATCATTTAAGTGGGCCTTGTTGATTTTGTTTTTTAGTTTGAGCTTTACTTTGATTATCATTAGGTTATTGTTTTCTTCTATTTGGGCCTTGTAAGGGCTCGATTGTTTAATCAATATAGGTTTAAAATTAAATAAGATTTGGAAATTAAGTAAATTTCATGTGCATCCATATTTATCTTTAATATTAATATTTCCTTATTGATTATGCCATGCTCATTTGAGAAAAGTGAATGGACTCCGATGATGGAATAACTGGTTGAAATGTTGACAGCATTGTCCATTTTAATCCGGATTTTCTAGGCTTGAGGCATTCATTTGGGGGTCTTACCAATCAAGTAGAAGGTTCCCAAATGATGTCTCTCGTATAATCACTCGGTAAAATTGAATTTAACCGGAAATCATACATCACCTGCATTCATGCATCTAGGGTTTAGATTTAGTAATTTTCAATTAAAGTTTAAAAATAAAAAAAATGGAAATTGAAAATGAAATAGAATAAAAATCATTTCTTTCAAAATTAAAAAAGAGTTTGTACTTGAGAATTGTTCTCTTTTAGTTTTCCAAGATAAAAAAAATCAAAAAAGAAAAGAATTGAGTCTTTCACAATTAAATAAAAAGGTTTTCAAAAATCCAAAAAAATCAAAATTCAAAATTCAAAACAAAATTTCATTCCAAGATTTCAAAGTATTCAATTTAGGTCTTTTCAAATTGGGAAAGTTCCACTCAAGTTTTCAAGGTGTTCAATTTAAGTCTTTTCAAAACATTCAAACATCATTTTCCAAATAGAGTCGTTTTAACGGTAAGTTTTAAAGAAAATCCTCTCATGAGGAATCCAAAAAGAGAACAAATAATAAACGGGGAAGTCCCCAACATTCCTATTTCAAAATCCAAAACCTATTTTTGTTTGTTTATTTGCTTAATTTCAAAAATTAATAAAATTTCTTAAAGGCATGAAAACATTTAGGAATAAAGACAACCAATAATAGAAACCCACAGTCAATTCTAAACTAGTCAGTGCCGTCTTTTGACGGGCGTCGTGGGGGTGCTAATCCTTCCCCACGCGTACCCGACTCCCGAACCTTTAAGACTTTAGTTAGAAAACCGTTTATTAGGTTTAGTGTTACCTTCGCCAAGCTTAGGTTAATATTAAACTTAATAATCTGATAGGTGGCTAATCACACCTAGGTTAAAAAAGATTAGTGGCGACTCCCGTAGTTCTTAAGTCGTTCAGCGGTAGGGTTCGAACCACCCTCGGACTCGCACGTAGCGACAGGAGTAGGAAAAGTTGAGTACCAAATTTTTAATGCAATATAAATTGATTGATGTGAGTTATGCTCTACATCGAGTAAAATTTAAAGAAGAAGTCTTAGGATGAATTTGATTCTGTTAAAAATAAAAGTTGGTTCCATATGAGCTGTTGTAGTTTGATATTGGCAATAAGGAGCAGGTTAACTTTAAATAATAGTCGTATATTAAAGGTAATAAGTTCAGCAATACGGACAAAAAGCATTGGTATTTGTCAAAGCAAAAATTCATTTTTTATTGTAAATTTATTTCGACATTTTGTAACAATGCAAAATAAACATTGTTAAAGCTAGGGCTGCAAACGAGCCGAGCTCGAATGAGCTTGAACACGAACTCAGTTATGTCCGCGAACATTTTGCCTTGTTCAAGCTCTGTTCGTGTTCGTTTAAATTTTATGAGGCTCGTTCGAGCTCGGCTCGTTTATAAAATGTAATGTTCATGTTCGTTTATGTTCGGCTCGGTTAAATGTTCTTGTTCGTGAACAATGAACAAACAGGTTCATGAACACTAATTGAACACGTTCACGAACATATATTAATTTATCAATAAAATAAAAGTTGTTCTGAACAACTTAACTAAACAATAAACAAGCAATAACTAAACAAACAAACACATAAATGATTTTAAATGGATATAATAATATATTTTTTAATCTTAATGAACCATAAACGAATTTTAAACGAGTATTTAAACGAACAATAAACGAGCTAATAAATGAACATTTATCGAACATGTTCGCGAA